ATTTCGATTGAAAGGCTAAAGCCAGCCTATTGTTAAACATCAGGTGAGCAAAGGCTGGAACCAGAAACTTCTGACACCCAGCCCAAGACTGAGGCAAATGATGAACGATTTCGAGTCTCATGAACTGGACGCCCAATAAAACATCTTTTACTTTTTAGTAACAATGTTGAATATTTTCCTAACCTCTATTATGGAATATTTTTATTTGTAATTGCATATATTTACTGGATTTAGTACTTTTAAATCTAATGTCAGCTTAGGCTACATTATTCCACTACCAGAATCTCTTTCTTGAATCGTAACACAGTTACAGGAGGGGGAGTAATGAAGTGGAACATAATTTAATGTTTTTATATAAAGATTTTGTAATTGGCAACATGATGTAATGTTTTTGCATAGTGATTAAGATTCGCTGTATGGCAGCAGGAGTTGAGTTCAAAGAAAAGTTGTTACTTGGAGTGTTCTGTGATAAACATTGCACAAGCCTTATTTCTTGAAAAGTTTGTTATACAGTCAAAAGTCGTTAATCCAGACTCGTCGGACTTCGGCGATTCCGGATTATTGATTTTTCCGGATTATAGATCATCAGTTTAAATCTGGTAAAATGGCATGCAGAAATTATAAAATTAAAAATATGAAACTGTAATTTACGAAATAAAGAACAATTATGATCTAAAGGGTATCAAAATTTACAAAAAAAAAGCTTAATATTTATTTGTTTACTTTATTAAACATTTCTTTCAATGTAAGTTGTTTAAGTTGCTTCGTTTTTTATGTGATAATACATTCTCTTTAATTCTATAAACAGACATAATTTCGTGTTCAGTTACAAAGTTCCGCTGTTCAAGTCCTATAATTGCCGTGTTGAGAATACCGATAATTTGTCAATCGAAATTTTTTCGTTTTCAATAACCTCTGTGTCACTTTCTTCGCTATCCGAAGCGAATTATAATGACGAGGCATTTGATTTAAATCATATCAAAGACACATCGAGATGAAATACTACAATGAGTAAGCAATTATAAGCCAAATAAAATAAAAACATCTGCTCTTAAGATAAGGATAGTGCTGGATCAACTTCCAATTCATTGCACGCCGCCCAGTGTTAAAGATAAACAATGTTTAGATAAACAAACGTTAAAGTTTACATAAACAAAGGATATGCCTTTATCCATTTTTTGCAGCAATTCTACTTTTTGTTTAATGGACTCCGAAAGATACTTTCACTTTGTATATCCTTTACATATTAGTAAATATATATCGGAAATTCTATTTGACATAATCGAAAGTTCAAGCTTACTTTTATAAAATTGCTCTAACAGTCTGCAAAAAATAATAATCCGGATCCAATTCGAAGATTAAGGAACAACGCAATCTGCAACATTAACTGAAATAGATAATTAGATAATTTTAGCTTAGCTTATCCCGTCCGTTATACATTAAACGCGTATTCGTAAACGTATTTTGCGCACACGCAAATTCGCAGCGGTAAAGGTCTTACGCGCATGCGCAGAAAGTTTGTAGCTTTGAGGTCCGGATTATAGATCATTCCGGATTATGGGTGTCCGAATTAACGACTTTTGACTGTATCATTTTTATGTCACAAAATAAGTAATATGTTGCAAACAAGTATGGAAGTTAGTACTCTTCTGTTTTGAGGGCTGTAAAAAAATTGCAGCGAAAATGTATGCGCAAAAGCGCCAAATCTAGCAAACGAGCCCATTTAACAGTGCGTCAAATCTAGCGTACGCACTGGTTTCAGATTGCCTAAGTTTATATAGTTCTATATTTCTTAAGACGCCATTGAAATACTAGTTTAATTTTTAAATGCTTTTTTGATATTCTATGGATTTAACAATTTCGAATTGCCCATGACGAAAAGTTGGCAATAGAATTTTGGGTAAAGTGCAGTCACTCATTGCTTGACGCGTTTTTAAGAATTGCACATACTCGGTATCCATGTGCACATTGACCTATTTTCACATTAAAAAAAAAAATCCCAGAAATGCACAAAAATGGCACTGCGCACCCCTTTGACTTTATCTATGTACACATCAACCTATTTTCATTTAAAAAGTAAAATAAAACTGACAAAAATCCAATTGTCTTTACCTTTGTAAAAAGCGGCAAACAAATAAGTGAGCAATTCTGCACTTCTGAATTCCGATTCTGAATATTTTCAAAGAAAATGCAACATTCATTATAGAAAATTACATTTGAACAACCAACGAGATGAAATTATGCTTTAGCGATAAGTCGGTAGTGAAATAGCGATGCAGGCATCCATTCAGTTATGTTTAGCAATTTTTATATAAATTATAATAATGATCTGAAATAGTTATTTACTCTTATGCTTCCATTCAGTCATGTTTGGCCTTTTTCATATAAATTATAGGAACTACTCTGATATGCGCCCTCAAGTCGCCAAATTTCAAAAAAATATTTTTGGCTAGAAACTTTACGCTGCCATATTACTATCTAAATTTTTTGTCTACATTTCGAACTTTTAGCCTAAAATGTCTCCAAAAACGCGGTTTTTGCACATGCAAAAACTACGTTTTGAACACACAATTTAGCTAAAAATCCGAAACAAAAACAAAAAATTTAGATAGCAAAAACGTAAAGTTTCTAACCAAAAATATTTGACAAGAATCCATGTACACAGCGACATGTTTTAACTTAAAAAAACATCTACGAAAAGCACAATGTAGGCAACGAACGAATCTACAAACTACGCACACCTCGCTTTAATAAATTAACATAACAACAATAAATTTCAAAGAATACCATGTACACAGCATCCTGTTTAAACTTGAAAAAAATTCTACGAATTGCACAATTTAGGCAAGGAAGGAGTCTACGATCTATGCACTCCTCGCTTTAATAAAATAATGTAACAACAATAAATTTCAAATAATACCATGTACACAGCGTTCTGTTTCAACTTTAAAAAACATCTACGAATTGCACAGTCTAGACACTAAACAACAAAATAAACTAATATAAATTTCAAACAATTTAAAAAACAACAATAACGACAGAAATTCATACTAAAGAACATAACATTCTACAAAATAAGAACAAGGATAAAATAAAATGCACTTACCATGAATTAATGCGTTTTCGAATAGCAGAAATATAAATTTCATACCGCCTTTAAACATGTTGCCACGTAATCACTATTGTATTTACATAACAGCCTGTCACACTATCCAGAAAATTTATACTATGGTTCACAAATAAATAAAAGCACAAATCCCTACTTCTATCATGCACTGCCATTAAAAATAATCTCCCAGACCCTCTTTCCACACTTCCATATACCCACTACCCCTCAACAGGATAGCCACAATGATATTTCCTTTTGCCGAACTTCAATTCAACAACTACCATTTTATCTTTCCCTCCCATCTTCTCAGACACAGAGGCAAATCAACGAGCTCCAGCAAAAGATTTTTCAATGTCAACAGGGTTGCCATAGAACACGCAATCGTGCCAAAAACCAGCGCACAACACATATCGCCACATTTGGTGAAGTTAAGGCGTATATTAAGAGTTGTACCAAATTATAATAATAAAAAAAGTATTATATGAAATTAACCTTTCATCTAAATTAAAACATCAATCTCAGATAGTTATTTACTATTATACTTCCTTTCTTGCCACAATTATTAGGGTTGCCACAATTATTTTTGGCAGCATTGGCATCAACAATAGTTTGGCGACTTTTTACGGCCCTCGAAATCGAAGAGTACCTGCAAGTTATATAAAAATAAATATGTTGTTTTTTTAAGACCAAAATAAGCATTTATTTAAATTATGAAATGTTCTGGTTGTTTAGTTTTGATTTCGTTTTTACATCAATACCCACAAGTATACACTTATTTTTGTGAATTTATATGGCGTAAAATAAGTAAATATGTGTTATTTAATCTACACAGTAGAAAAAGATAATATTGATTTAACCTTATTTAAAAATTTCTGTTCTTTCAATATTGTGTGACACACAGAATTCCTTAATAGCATCCCAAAACTGTCTAAAATTATCTAACTAGAATCTGTATACTCCTGTCACCACATAAATTCACAAAAATAAGAATCAAATTCAATTGTGTTAATCATTTTAGTATTACCTTCATACACCCACATTCACATAAAAATCAAAATCTCAATAATACTCAAATGACTTTCCTCAAACCATGATCCCTTTATAATGGAATGCTTTACATAGTAAGCATTTGAAACTTTCTTGCAACAAGCCCATGCAAAGGCATCTGAATGATCTTTACGTTTGACCATACGCATTTCCTTCATACAAGCAGGACATTTATAATAATTACTGAGTAAAGCTTCATTTATCGTTACATACCAGTCAATTAATGCTTCTTTTCCCATTCATTCCAAATCATAGAGAAATTTCAGATTAACCTTACCACAGGCAGCCACTTCACGGTGTGCAGCCCAAAATAAGCAATGTACTTCCTACGCTACATCCAATGCAGAAATAAGCTCTGAGAAAATAAAATAACCGCGACGACGCATTACAACCAATCACCTCATAATGGGGTTTCCATAATATTCAACTACTCAGGTTACCATAAATGAAACAACAACGTGGCGATAATTAAAGGGATACCCTAAAATATAGACTAACCAATTTAAGTTATAGAATCGAAACATGGAAAAAAATTTACATGGCATTTCAGAAAAAGGCCGGTTTTGTGTCAAAATACCTATGTTAGAAAAATCCTATATATTATATATATTCTAAGCTGCGCTTTCGAGACATGAAAAATGCACATTAAATTTCATCAGTTGTCCCAGCAGAACAGGAGATAAAGAACTGTCCCATTTTATCTGTGTAAGGTCTAACTAATTTAAATGCTTTTAATGATCATTTTGAATATCAGCTTAGATAAAGCTTGCTCAACATCTAATTAAAGAAATATATACAAATAGAAACATAAACAAAAAAATTTTTAAGAATTTGATATACGTACTCTGAAAATAATTCAGCAGAATGAGAAAAATTTGATATGGATGGTGAATCAATTGAATTTATGGTACTTGAATTAGTCAGTCCTTCTGTCTCCGAGAATAATTCATAAGAACTAGGAAGGCTATTTTCATCATGATCTGATACTTGCAAATCATGTGTTTGAGACAATTCAGAACTAGATGAATCGGCGAAAATTGAATCTTCACTTTTGGCTTGGCCTGCAATAATCATTAAAATGCACTTATGTTTGATTTATACCTAATTTTAATATAAATATATAAAAGCTAAATTACTAGAATTGTCACTACAAATACAATTAATTTCAGAAAAATTAGATATTTTAACATTTTCAGCCTCAGAGACACAAAAATTTTCAAATTATGTTGATTATCGAACCTTAGAAATCCTAAACCCCCTCCCTCCCAAAAAAAAAAAAAATCGGAAAGGTTTCAAATTTTAAATTACGTCAAAAGGGACTTCAGTATCACACGCAGAAGATAAAAATGTTGTTTCTGTACAATGCTGCCATTGCTCACTTTGAAATCCTCGAGTTTGTTAATCAAAAATTTGTTAAAATTTTATAAAATATGAAATCAATAATAAAACAAATTTAAACTTCAAATTTGGGCTTCCAGATGCCCATATTATCAATAGGATTACGTCATTCAAAATTGGATGGCTCTAAGTACCGTTGTTTTATCACAATGCAAGAAATATACATACATTTATGCAGATTCTTCATTATTTAATTTCTTCAAATATAATACAGGGTGATAATATTAGGTGGCAACAGTTTGAAAACTGAAACGGACATTCAGAGTGATCTGACGCTAAATCACAAAATGAAAACAATAGTCCCTCAGGGACAAAGCCCCTTTGGACTAAAAAATTCATTTGTGACATAAAAGGATTGAACATAAAAATTATTTTGTACTTTTCTGTCATGCACCAGCTATGCTTTATGGCTTCTGTGAACAAGAAGCCCAACAGATGCCAAGACTGAACAACTGCAACTACAAATAAATATGTTGCCTTCTATAAACTACTTTTATAACTATTTCCAATTAAAAAGCCTGGTGTCTGGCTTCTCTTTCACAAGCACCAAAGAGCATTGTGGGCGAATGATGGAAAAGTATCAATTATTATTCACTGAATCTATAAAAAATATCTAAACATATGTAAATGGATGGCTGGCAATTTTTCACTCATATTAGGATACTTTCGAGATCAACATATTTTATGCAGCAAATTTTGATGTCCAAATCAAACTTACCATTTTTCAGATTTCAGTCATGTCTTATAATTAACATGACTTTCATTTATTTGATAATCAAACCTAGATTTCTTAAATTATATATTTTTTTATAACAGAAAACATTCTTTCCAGAGATAAAATATCCTCAAGCAAACAAAAAATAAAACTCTAGAATATTAAATCCTGGAACTGCACATAATCTTTTTGTAGTTAATCTCAAGAAGCATGCCTACACAAGGATGATCTTCACATGCACAGATTTGCTAACAGATTACAACTGACCAATACAGCTGGCACACGAAAAACACTCCCTGATTTTAAATAACAGTAAAATCAAAATTTATTAGATATGTTTTCAAATATAATGATTGATGCATTCAAAAAATTTCTTTCACTACTGCAGAATGTCTGTACGCTTCTCCCCTTGCCACAGGGCAATTAAATTTAAGATGATATTCCCTACAGCAACACAGCATATGATGTAATTTGCTAAAAAACAAACAGTGCTGTGGTTATACAATATGGTTTCATATTCAAATTTAATGTGAATTATTTATTAACAAATCTATTTTATAGTAGTGCAGCAATTTTATTGAGAAAGCATGCATCTGTGATCACAGAAAAGAAAATTCAGGCTGATCATGAGTCTTGGACACTGTAAGATGTTCATTTCAGCAGACCAAAAAACTCAAAAATGTTATGTTACATGCAGCCCCAAAAAAAGCTAAATATGAGTTATATGGTAAGCAAACAGTACAGCATAAGTACATAAGCATAAGTACAGTAAGTATAAGTATTTGTAAGCAATTTACACTAAAGCAGTGATCACCTAACTGTGTTGTATTTTATATGTGTTGGGTATGTGCTCAGTGATGATTACAAGATGTACACAAACATCGTTTATTCTACATTACTCATCTACTATTCTATATTACAGTTATGGTTAAAGATAATAATAGATACAGTTACAGTTACATATATAACATCTCCCTTTTTTATAAAAAAATAATATTAGTAGTAAAATTAAACATATTCTTTTAAATAATAAGGTTTCTTAACAGTCCTACCAGATCGAGTGACGTAGTTATGTCCATTTGAAAAATTTGATGATACTATACCTCTTTCACTATTTGGTGACACAACACTTCTGTTAGATTTTGAAGGACTTACAGGCACATCTAAATTTGTAGTGCTCCTACTATTTTCATGTATCTCGGGTTTCATCTATAACTTCATTCTCATAGTTGTTTTGTATTGCAAACTCTTCCTGATTAGTTCCTTTAAGAAGGTCTCTTCTGTTCCTTTCTACAATTCTTCCATCTGTTCTTATAATCCTATATGAACGTGGTCTTTCTGCTTCTTCTATAATTTTCCCTCTTTCATTTAGTTTTTTTTCCCTTTCTCTTTTTATGTAAACATGATCTCCTGTTTTCAGTCGTTTTTAATGGTCTTGCATTCCTATCATAATAACTTTTTTTGTAAGGTTTGTCTCTTCAGTAAATGTTGTTTATGGTCTTCATATCGTTTAGCTTGGACAAAATTTCTTTTATAGGCATCATCAATCCATTTACTTTTCTTCCAAACATCAATTCTGAAGGTGACTTAATTTCATCTGAAATAGGAGAGTTACGATATTCCAGTAAAACTAAATATGGATCCCTTGTTGTCAACTACAGCTTTTTCTAACATTCGCTTGACAGTTTGAATATGTCTTTCCAACCATTCCATTAGACTGTGGGTATTTTGGACTTGAAAGTTCTGGTTTCAAAATTCCATCTTCTTCTTGCAAATCTTTATAATTTCCTGCAATTATATTGTGGACCATTATCCGAATATACTATTTTCGGAATACCATGTCTTGCAAAAATTGATTTCAATTGCTTTTGCTTTCTCACTGCTACACTTGACAAATCTTCCAAATGTCCAATTTCAACATATTTGCTAAAATAATCTATAACTATTAGATAATCCCTTCCTTGAAAGTAAAAGAGGTCTGTTCCCAATACTTCCCATGGACCATTAGGTATTTCTTTAGATATCATTGGTTCTTTAGTATTAGCTTTTTGTAAACTTAAACATGTTTGACAATTCAGTACCAAATCTTCAATTTCTTTGGACATTCCTGGCCAATATAATATTTCTCTTGCTTTGATCTTGCATTTTACTACTCCTAAATGACCATAATGAATTCTGCTTAACATATCTTTTCGTAAACTTCTTGGTACAACAACAACACAGGAATTTTTAAATATTAATCCATTTGCTTCTGATAGTTCTTCTCTGAAGTTAAAATATGATTTTGCCAGTTATGGAACCATACATTTTTCATCTGGCCATCCAGTTTTAATTAATTTTCTTAAAACTTGTGGTTCTTCATCTTTTTCTGTTTCCAGTTGAAAAACTTCCATTTTACCATTAGACATTGGTATACATACTACAAACAGTGCCACGAGCTTCTATATCTCCTTCAAAGAAATCAGATCCTTCATCAGTGAATGATCTTGATAATGCATCCACTATAAAAAGTTCTTTTCCTGGTTTATATTTTATCTCAAACTGATATGGCTTTATACGCATTCTTTGTAGTCTTACAGGACATTTATTTAATGGCTTTTTGAAAATTGATTCCAGTGGTTTATGATCACTTTCCTTTCCACAGTAATATTTTTTTTTCCAAATATATACTGGTGAAATTTCTCACACGCAAATACAATAACTAAAGTTTCCTTTTCAATTTGAGCATAATTCTTCTGTGTATCTGTTAATGCCTTAGATGCATATGCCACTGGTAAATTATTCTGCAGTAAGACTGCTCCTAGTCCTTCTTGAGATGCATCTACAGAAAAAACTACTGGCATGTTTATATCATAATACTGTAAAATTGGTTTATTTACCAAGACATCTTTTAGTCTTCTAAATGCTTTTTCATGTGTTACATTCCAGTTCCAGATAACTTGTTTTTTTAACAAATCTCTTAAACATGATGTCAATTCTGATACATTAGGTATAAATCTAGAAACATATGTAATCATTCCTAGGAAAGTTTCTAATTCTTTCACATTTTTTTGGTGGTTTTATATCTAGAATAGCCTTAATTTTGTCTTCATCTGGTTTTAAACCATCTTTAGAAAATATATGTCCCATATATTTCACTTCATTCAGCCCAAATTTACATTTATTTAAATTAAATTTAACATTCTTTTCTCTGGCTCTGTCCAACAACTTCTTTAATCTTAAATCATGTTCTTTTTTATCTTTACCCCAAACTAATAAGTCATCTACACATATTTTAACTCCTTCTAAATCACTAAAAATTTCAGAAAAACTTCTGTGGGAAACTTCTGGTGATGAACTCAGTCTATATGCCAACCTCAAAAAACAATATCTACCAAATGGAGTGTTAAATGTAGTTAATTCACAACTTGAATCTGACAATTTAATTTGCCAAAATGCTTTGTTTGCATCTAAAATACTAAAGACCTTTGCATTTGTCATTTGAGATGAAATTTCTTCAAAGGTTGGTATGTGACAATGTTCTCTCAGTATATTTTGGTTAAGGTGCTGAGGATCTAAACACACTCTTAAATTTCCATCCTTTTTCCTTACTACCACTAATGAATTCACGAATTCTGTTGGTTGGTTAACTTTCTTTACAATACCATCTTTTTCCATTCTTGCTAATTCCTTTTTTAATGGATTTAATAAGCTAAGTGGAATTTTCCTACAGGGTTCTATTTTACCAACAGCTCCTGGTTTTAATTTAATATGATATGTATATCCAGTTAAATTCCCAGTTCCTTTAAACAAATCTTGATATCCTTTTTAAAGTTCTGGTAACTTTTCATTAGAATCAGGATTTACTGTACAAATCCTTTGTATTAGGTTTAATTTTTGCAATGTACGGTAAACCTAAAATAGCTGGAACAGTTTTATAATCACATGCTACAAACTTGAAATTCTATTTCATCATCCTTGTCCCCTTTTCGATGTTTCACATAATAATTTACATTTTCCAACTACATCAATTGTAGTACCATTGTAATTATTTAAAGTGACTTTTGATTTAGTCAAATATTTCTCTCTTAAATTTAATTGTTTAAATTTAGGCAATGGTAGCACATTACACTGAGCTCCAGTATCCAACTTAACAAATAAATACAGTCAAAAGTCGTTAATCCGGACTCGTCGGGACTTCGGCGATTCCGGATTATAGATCATCAGTTTAAATCTGGTAAAATGGCATGCAGAAATTATAAAATTAAAAATATGAAACCATAATTTACGAAATAAAGAACAATTATGATCTAAAGGGTATCAAAATTTACAAAAAAAAAAAAAAAAAAAGCTTAATATTTATGTGTTTACTTTATTAAACATTTCTTTCAATGTAAGTTGTTTAAGTTGCTTCGTTTTTTATGTGATAATACATTCTCTTTAATTCCATAAACAGACATAATTTCTTGTTCAGTTACAAAGTTCCGCTGTTCAAGTCCTATAATTGCTGTGTCGAGAATACCGACTAATTTGTCAATCGAAATTTTTTCGTTTTCAATAACCTCTGTCACTTTCTTCGCTATGGGAAGCGAATTATAATGACGAGGCATTTGATTTAAATTATATCAAAGACGCTAACTTGGAGAGTTTGATTTATGCGCTAGTACTAAGCCAGGTCTGTTTTACTGATAGCATGTTCAAACAAAACAAAAAAAAAAAAAAACTTATCACTTTCATTCGGAATGGGAAATTGATTACTTCTTTTTCCAGGTAATGGATAAATATATGTGTTTACTATGCTATGCAAGTGTATTAGTTGGGAAGAATGGGAATGTCACTTCAAAATCATTCATGCACAGATTGAAAAGGATTTCTCACTGAATTCTGCTCTAAAAAAAGAAAAGGTAAGGCAGCTAAAATTTACACTTAGTGCTCAACAACAAACATTTCCAAGATCATTAAACAATAATAAAGGAGCAACTAAGGCATCATTCTGAGTTTCAAATATTATTGCACAAAATAAGAAACCATAGGAAGACGGTGAACTAATCAAAACTGCATTTTTAGAAGCTGCAGATGCATTGTTTGATATTTCCCTAAAACTGAGATAATATCTGCTATTAAATCTGTACAGCTTTCTACAGTAATGAGAAGGTTATGAGTTCTGATGTTACTCACAACTTAAAACTGATTTCTGCAGCTATTTCTCTTGCAACTTGACGAATTGACTGGTATAGTTGATACAGCTCAGTTGGCCATTTTTCCAAGAATGGCTTTTGATAATTTCAACATAAGAGAGAAGCTGATAAAGATCATACCGTTAATAAGATGCACTACACGACATTTTTTTTGCTGTTAAAGATCTCATCAATTCTGAAAGTACACCTATAAATAAGTTTGTGAGCTTAGCAACTGATGGAGCTCCTGCGATGGTAGGCAAAGTGAAGGGATTCATAATCTTGTGTCGTACAGACACCAGCTTTCCGAAATTTTTGTCTTAACATTAAGTAATATACCAGGAGTCACTTTGTGGAAAGTTTTAAAGAATGATATAATAAAAACAGTCATAAAAATATTAAACAAAGTTAGAACACATGCAATTCAGGGACGTTTGCTCAGAGCACTGACTGGTGAACTAGATTGCCAGTATGGTGATCTAGTGTTTCATATGGAAGTTCATTGGTTGAGAAGAGGCAGAATTTTACAGCACTTGCAAGAGCTGCTTCCTGCCTTAGTAGAATTTTTAAAAGAACAAGATGAATCCTTTAGTGAACTACAAGATCCAGTTTGGTAACAGAATTTTGCTCTTCTCACAGACACCACCAAAAAGTTTATACTTAACTTGTACCTTAGTTTCAAGTAATTGATAAAGGGTCTAATCTTTGGAATATGGTAACAGGTAGTTTAGCGACATTTTGGTAAGGCAATAAAGGTTACAAGCTAGGACTTTAGCAGTGTATATGGATATAGTCAAGAGTGTGCACAATGCCATTTTTGTGCAATTCTGGGATTTTTTTTTAAGTGAAAATAGGTCAACGTGTACATGGATGATACCGTGTATGTGCAATTAAAAACGCGGCAAGCAGTGGGCAATTCTGCACTTTCTCCCAATTTCGCACCTCTCTTCGTAATGATTATGCACTTTTGTTCCATAAAAGTTCTAGCATAAGTGTAATTCAGCTAGCAGATTGATGGGAAAAAATGTTGATTAAAAAAAAAAGATGCCTTTTCTTCATGAAAACAAAATGGCGTCCAAAAACAAACTAGCAGGTTGCTGTAGCAGGACTGGTCACCAAATTTTCGCCAAGTTACCGTAATCCAAAAATTAACCAACAAATGCTTTTTTTTTTTTTTTTTTTTTTTTTTTTAATTTGGTAGCTCACGGTAGGATTTAAAAAGAGTACGGTAGTTCAGAAGCTTTGTAAGTTTGGCAACCACTGCACTAAAGCATGGTAAGCAAGATCTATGCAAACACTTCGCAGCCTTACATGTTACAACTGGCCCAAAATTACACTACAAAAACAATGAAAAACTATTTGAAATGTGAGGGTATCTTCACACATTAATAGAAACTGATTATCTGTTATCAAAAATTATTTTCAGTGATGAGGTGAGCTTTAAGTGGAAAGATCAACATGAACAATACAAGGACATGAAAGAGTTTAGAATCTACAGGCCAGCCTAGATGCTGAATATGACTTCTCAAAGATTAATATGCTTAAGATTAATGCCATCTCACAGTAGATTCTATGTAATCCATTTATCTTCGATAGATAAACTTTTATTGGAAAAAGTTACTTGAAAATCTGGTACTGATGATCTGACTACCACTGAAAAAGTCATGAACTCATTAGCAACAAAGTTTTTGCTAAGCTGATGTGTGAAAGTCAACAAAAAAAGGCAGTGCACTATAAATTTAATACAAGAGCTATCATCAATAATATTTTAAAAGATTGTCTACAGAACAGCTAGCAGTAGATTATTTTCAAAGTTATGAGATCTTACTATAAAAAAAGTGGTCAGCTGAATGTGGATGAGGAAGAGTTATGAATTGGAAAAATTACCAGCAGGAAATTTGAACTTACAGCCTTATAAACAGCGCTTCTGGCAAAATTGGAAGGCCTAACAAAATAGTAAAACTCGACAAAAGGCGTTGTGCAAAAATGAAGCTTGTCGAATACTAATTGTTTATTAGATAAAGAGACTTCAGTTCCTTCAGAATTCTTCAAGAATAATTGGTGCAACTTTACCAGAATCTTCGCTAACATGGTTTGATAGTAGTCAATTTTCTCGGTCAATGAGATAATATGTAAGTACCTTGCTGTTATATGGTTATAAAACTAGTATGTCTTAAATATATTACATCATAAATAAAAGATTACAGTAAATCATATTTATAATATAAATATTCTGTTATATATCTACAGTAATAAACCACTGCAAATTATAAACAGATCCTTAAAAACATTAATACACGTAATGCAAGAAATTATATCACAAAGATTACCATTAAGGGAAGAATCACCAACTTTAATATCAGTTTTCATTGATGCCAATGAAATTCTAGGGCAATGAGAAGGAAAAGAAACCACTGTTAATTAAATATGGGAATACTTTATGAGGCAATGTTGATTTTAAAAAAATTACACATTTATGAGATAATTTTTACCGCTTTTCAGCAGCTGCTGCCATCAATTCCCTTGTATGATTCTGTTTATCCATATCTATATGAGATGATTCTTCTGGGAAGAAATGACGCACAATGAATTATTTTTAATTACATATATTACACATCAAGTCAATAATATTACAGTACACTTCAATTTTACATTCCACGTTTATTAAAAAAATATTTCAGTGTACATATTTCTCGGTATTATGAGAAACGTATACACTGGAAACACTATAAGAACAACGTATACATCACAGACTTTTATAGCAAGATACCGATTTCAACATAAAATATTAGATTAACAGTACACAATACAAACTATTTAATAATACAATCAGTAATAACAGTACACAATACAAACTGCTATTTAATAAAACAATGTTTCAATACGTATTGTTGATTAATAATTCCAGAGAAAAACTTACTCTCTGTTTTTAATTTTTTACTGAAGCCAAAACTTTCTATCAAACTTATTTGTCGCAATCTTTTCGAATTTTTACTCATGTTAATAAAAAGCCAAGAACAACAGATTTAGTTTAACGTAACATTTTTTAAAATATTGCATCTTAAACAAAAAAAAAAGTATATTTATATGTTTAAGTATATAGAAAAACAATGCAGCTAACGTAAGTAAATTTTCGCATTTCGGAGAATCAGTAGATAATTTTGAACCTAACGCAAAACACGAAAAGAACTACAAAAGAATATTATTGCCATTTCTGCTAAGCAAAATTACATTCAGGTATAATGCATAAAATAAATATTTTTAGATAAACATGCTTAATCTGCTAAATATATATTTATATTTATTTTCGAATATATGTAGAATTATTTTTAGGGAATTACTTTGCAAAGTTTTAAATTAAACTAGAGCAATAAGTAGCACATCTCATCTTCAACTTCTCTTTTTCTGTCATTTCGTAACACGGGCGGCTAAAACCCGCCGGGAACTGAAGAAATTCAACCAATGAGAATAAGCTACTGCCGGAGACTGTTTTTGGCGACCAATTTTTATGCCAGCAATTGAAGTGTTTGTTTTGGATTTATTTTCCGCTCATATTCCTCTTTTCGTATCTTTTGATTACGTCTTTTTCGCATCAATTTATAATAGTTTTTAACTTTTATTGCTATAAAAGACAATGTAGTGAATACGGAAAATTCGGTGGATTATCACGTGAAATGTGTAATAAAATTTCTAGCCTGTTCCCGCAAAAAAAGGTGTACGGTGTTGTATCGCAAAAGTTTTATGCTAAATTGTACATTTCACTTTATTTTGTGGCACTGAAAATTACAGAAAGAATTTATTTTTTGATCATCAAGAAAAAAAAAAAATTGCACATGAAAAAGGCTTATTAATTTAACCTGTGCAGAAGATGTGTTGCTTTTTTCTTTAATATATATATATATTAATAAAAGTATTTATTAGTACTCAAATTTAGCCAACAAAGCCACATGCAGAACATATATATATATGTATTAGAAGATTCCTAATAATAATAAATAATTTGATTGAACTTTTTCTAAAATGCATTACGTTTTTGTGTGATATTTGATTTTTAAGAAAATGTAGCATGTTGAATAAATTGAATAGTAAAAATCTCAAATGTACTGTATTTTTGAAAAGGTTAATATGAAATTTTATTAAATTGTTTTGTTTATCTAATAAAATCTGGAATTCTTTCCCAATTTCAAAAGAAGGATGTGTGAAGGATTTAATGCGTGTAACAAATAGATTTTTAGAAAAATTGTCATTAGCATAACATGAGGAGTGTAAAATGGGAAGATCTTTATAATGTAATATAATGCAGTTGATAATCATCTGAAAAAGAGCCCATGAATGGTAAGACTGCTGAACACTGATAGTTAGGTTTATATCCTAACTATATATTTGGACACCTTTTGCTTAGCTTATCTGGTCTGATGATCTGTATAAAATGGTAAATGAAAAACAAAGTATTTGTACCCAATATTAAGTCTGATCTGCAAACAAGATTACTGTGGCTGCGGAAACCGACATGCCAGTGAAATATATGTGTCATGTAGATATTACACAAAATACATCAGCTAGAGTATTCTTATCAAGCAGTATGGGGACAGGTACCATATAACCAAATATGTACATATCAAACATTTGTAATTATGTATTTTAAAGTTATAGGCTTCCAATACAATTAGAATTTATATTTCTGTAATACTTATGAGTCTTCTCTGAAACATACTTATTTTGCTTAAATCTACTTCCAAAGTACTTTATTTTGATACAACCCATGGTTTAGAAAAATTAAGTTTCTGACATTCAAGAGCAGATAAAAGTCATACTTAACTGACAAAAAACATATAAAATTAAAGTAAGGCAAAAATAGCAGCTTAACATAAATCTTGTGTCAGTTTTAAGAAATAACTGACTTAGTCCCTCTTCTTCAATAAAAATGAAAAAAGGTTTTTATTCCTGGCCTTTTGAAGAACAGATATCAGATAACACTCAAAATTAAATAGAATGATACAAATTCTGCATCATTATAAGCCTTCTTGATTTATTTTAATCTTGAAATTCATGACCTGACAAATTTTGTGACAACTATATATTTTTGAGAACCTGGGACCACAGGTGGATTTGTTCGAACAGCATTCCAAGTTCTTTGATTACATGCTCGAAATGACTCTGCATGAAAAATTTACAAATTAAATTCGTCAAAAGCTTTAGAAAGTGAAATCTAATGCACGCAGTAAATTTGTTTTTTCTGTGTGAGGAAATCAGCTTTTTCATTACCATCAGTTCTACAATGGAAATGAGCCTGCTTGCAGGGGCGTAGCTAGAGTTTCCAGCGCCCGGGGACAACTGAAGAATTTGCGCCCCTTTCTGTGTGCCAAAAATGGAAAAAATTTCATTAAAAAATTCCATAGCATCAATTTGGCGCCCCTTGGATACTGCACCCGGGGACAGATGTCCCCCTTTGCCCCACCCTAGCTACGCCACTGCCTGCTTGGCAATTAGTCTGAGTTGAAAGTGTCTTGAAATTTCTAAAGATGTCTGCAAATATAGCTTTGATATATATACAAGTGAAATCTATTTAGCCTATTCTTAGTATCAGTAATATTAGGTGTTTGCAACATTAAATGGGGTACAAAAAGTCCATTATGATATCTTCAGTGATGGAAATGTACGAAGTTTGCACGCGTCCTTTGCTCAGTTTGTCGTGCAATTGCAAAACCCATGTTCTTTTTTGTTTGCTTATTACTTATTCCAGGGAAAAAACGTCTTGCATGTTGTAACCGTACTTTAACATAACGTTAAATTTTACATTAAAACATTGAAATATAAATAAATTATTTTAGGATTTCCATCGAGATGGTTTTAACATGAAAACTGCATAATGGAATTCCTAATAGTGTAAAGGAAGGTATAGTTATTATAAAGACTATTAGTATTAATAGAGGTGAAGCTAAGCAGGCTTTAAGCTTAACGAAAAAAGTGTTTCTACAATAAGACCTTCTTTGACTCACATGAAGTTTAGATTTAAAGACAATGCTAAATGGGGGAAACCTTTAGCAGAATAGAAAATTTTTGAAAAATCTCTGCTGGTTCTTAAAACCTTACAAATGATCAACTGATGTGAGAAGAAAAGTGAGGGGCAACTTCTGGCATAAATTGTGCACATCATGAAATTTATTTGCTATTTTATGTAATTTCCATGATATTCTTATTTAATTTTTTTTCATGCACAGTTACTATTTGTTTTCCGTTTTTGTAAAAATTAAAACATTAAAAATTAAACATAATTTGGTATTTTGAATTTATAAAATAAAGTGTGCGCTCTTTGTTAATATTTTAATAGCTCACCACTAGATATTTTAATCAAAATTTTATCTAGGTTGATAAATTCACAACTTTCAATATAAAACTGCTCAAAATATCGAAGATTATGTTAGCAACTCCAATATGAATATTTTTTAATAAATTTTTAAACTCTGTAAATTTTGCTTTTTAATACTATATTTTAAAATACCTTTTTTGCACATGGATCATATGGATAATCACAAAATATAACTTGAAAGTTCAAAATTTCAAGTGTTTTTTTCTATGTACAAATAAGTTGTTTTTATCAATTTAACACTGTCATCAGTCATTTCTTAACACATATTAAATATAGCATTGGCCCCTAGGAACCAACCTTAAACCAAGCAAAATAGAATTGTTATTTAACATGTTAGATATTAGGAAAACATAACATTAATGTGTAACCATTGTAAAACAACAAATGATTATTACTTAATTTATGTAACTCAAATGCACACTTATACTCAGATACCACCCATTTGTCTTAAAGTCCATTTTGACTCTTATACAACACTGGTATAATAAACTGAATGATGTTAATTTATTAAATCTGCTTGGAGAAATAACAATTATAACAGAGTCCTTTGTGTGCAGTTATTCTGCTACTAAGAACAATTCTTCCAGATGAAAAAAAAAAGTTCCCCAATCAGTTTCAATATAAATAATAAATTATGATATATCATGTAATGATAACTTCATCCGAAGATTCTGGAGCAGACTACAGTGAGAAACTTTCTATAAAATGGTCACAAAATTTTCACACTGAGAAAAATTATTACTATCTTCCATAATTAGTACTCATCAGCAGTCGAGTGGATAAGACTAAGAAGCACTAATAGTTTGAACACTGGTGGACAGGCTAGCTGCATGGGATATTTCTCTTGTGCCGCATGAACAGAAGTCATATTCTTTTAAACATATACTTCATGAAAGTCTTCTACCCTTAAGAAGATACTGTTTTCCTGCTTTGCAATAATGAATTAAATAAATTACTACCATTGATACAGAACTTTTTTAAAAAAAAAAGAAAGAAAACACTTATACGATCTCTTACCAATTGAAATATTTTTATGCGTGCTCTAATATGCATAATACAGAATCGTGAAAATTCACCACAATTCCACAATCAGAAATGATAGCAAATTATAGGAACATAGGCAGCAGATGTGTATACTACAATATACAATTTGTTGCTCTTTACAAAATAAAAATTAGAGGCATCCAATGGTGAAAGCTGTTGTTGGAATATTTTATTTGTACAGAAAAAGAAAATGCTTTGGATTTCAAGAAAACTTATACAGAATTTCTGCTAGGGATTAATACATGACATCTGAAATCATAAGCAAGTGGAATTAAAATTGCAGCTTAAAGACTGTGTGATTTCCTAAAATATAATTACAAACTCTGGAGACTAATGAAGGTGATAAATTACTGCATATTATTCAGAAAAGTCTTGGCAATGAAAGAAAAGAATGTACATAGTAACACATACGGTGTAATATAAAGTGTAAAATACCCCACAGATTCATCATGAATAAAAATTACTTGATTGTGCTAATGTTCCAAGACTTTAAAAATTACATCTTTATTTTTACATAACACAATGAAATGAAACAGAATTATTTCGATGGAGAATAATGCATAAAACAAGTTTCATGTTAATTTTTTCAATTATTTTTTTTTCTTTTGGGAGATACTGGGTTACCTGGGTTATTTTATGAGTTATCCGACATCAGCATTTAATATACAGATTCTCTGAATAATCATTGTATTTTCTATATTTCAGTAGGAGCTTTTGTTAATGTGATTTTTGCTTACGGAAAAATATACAAAAGAGAAATTTCTAAAAGTTTTAA